AGGGGAAGGAGCAAGGTGTGAGGGTCATTTTGGGGAAAATGGATTAGAGGGCAAAGAGGCTCCACACCACCCAGCCCCCAACCAGGCCCTGCCATAGACTCCTGCCAGCCTCCATGCCACCATGACTGTGGACACTCATCCACAGCGTCAGGCCTGGGGACAAGGAGACATTCCCTGCAGCACAGGACAACCTCATGAAAGTTACAGCTTTTTTTATTTTTTGAGACAGAGTCTCACTCTGTCGCCCAGGTTGGAGTATAGTGGCACAATTTAGACTCACTGCAACCTTTGCCTCCCGGGTTCAAGCATTCATTCCTCTAGCATTTTCACACACTTGTCCTGGGCCCCATGCTGGACACTCATGAACACCATGACTGTGGACACCTGATGGACACCATGACCATGACACCCGATGAACACCATGACCGTGACACTCGATGAACACTGTGACTGTGACACTCAATAAACACTGTGACTGTGACATTTGGTGAACACTGTGACTGTGGAACTTGATGAACTCCATGACTATGGGACACTCAATGGACACCTTGACTGTGACACTCAAACACCATTACTATGGACACTCATGAACACCATGACTGTGACATTTGAATGCTATGACTACAGACATCTGGTGAACACCATAACTGTGACACACAATGAACATGACTATGACACTTGATGAACACTATGACTGTGACACTCAATGGACACCATGACTGTGACACACGATGAATGTGACTGTGACACGTGATGAACACCATGACTGTGACACATGATGAACACCATGACTGTGACACATGATGAACACCATGACTGTGACACTCGAACACGATGACTACACGATGAACTGTGTGAACACTCGATGAACACTGTGACTGTGATACTCGATGAACACCATGACTGTGATATGCAATGGACACCATGACTGTGACACTCAATGAACACGGTGACTACAGACACTCAAACACTGTGACTGTGACACTTGATGAACACCATGACTGTGACACACAATGAACACCATGACTGTGACACATGATGAACACCATGACTGTGACACTTGAACACGATGACTACGGACACTCAATGAACACTGTGACTGTGATAATGAACACCATGACTGTGATATGCAATGGACACCATCACTGTGACACTCGATGGACACCGTTAACTGTTACAGTCGATGAACACCATGACTGTGACACTCAGTGAACACCATGACTATGGACACTCAATGATCATGACAATACATTAGATGAACACCATGACTACTGACATTCGATGAACACTGTGACTACAGACACCTGACGGACAGTATGACAGTGGCAGTACTCCTGTCCCCACACTCCCATAGGTGGCCGTGAAAAAAACAGAACTACAGAGTGAGTGCTATCTAGGCTGCACTGAGCACCGATGGATGAGCCAAAGA